GATGGCATCACGTCATCGAACTCTTCGAGGACGCCTTCGATGATGGGAGTTTTGATTCCCGTTGAGCCTCCTTCTTCCTCCATTTTCAAGGAAACAAGAAATGTTGGTTCATTCTTCTTGAACCCCTTCAATACCTGCATAGCGGATAGAGCAATATGGGGGCCATCTTCTCTCAAGAGATGGACCGCATGAAAGTCCCCTTCCTTCTCCAAGCACATCGTGTTGGAGTTGGGCTTCAAGAGCACTCCCTCCTTGTCGAGGAAGTTGATGCCAAGGATGACTGGGTGATCGTCCATGGTGACGACGAAAAAGTCGATGAGGCCTTCCCACTCGCCAAGCTTCACTGGCACATTGTGAGCAACTTCATGGATCGGGATGGACTCCGAGTTGATCGTCTTGAGCCTCCCTTGCCCCTTCTCGTAGGCAATACCCAGCTGGTTTGCCTCCTCGATGCGAAGGAAGTTGTCCGTGGCACCGGTATTCACCAAAGCTTTTGACTCTCCTTGCATGAATTGTGCCAGAACATAGCACCTCCCACGCTTGCTCTCCTTGACGCTGATCTTCACCGTGCCAAGCTTGCTGATTGAGCCAATCTTGCCTCCGCCGCCTTGGGCTCCTCATCTTGAGCTTTCATGGTCGACAATCTCGCCTTCCTTGGGCAATCTCGCACCCAATGTGGTCCATCGCAATGGAAACAAGATACGGGCTTTAGTTAGTACTTACCCCCTTTGCTCGAACCACCTTGGTGTTGTTAAGTGCGAGAACCCTCCTTGAAAGGCTTCTGCTGTTCTCCACCCTTATTGGGTTTTGAACTCTTCTCTTTGCCACTACTCTCTTGCCTTTTGTACTCAACAAACGACTCAGCCGTGGCCATGGAAGTTGCAAGGTCTTGCACTCCTCGACGTTGCATCTCCATCTTGGCCCATGCTTGTAGCCCATCAAGAAAGTCGTGCATGGACTCCTTGTCAGTGATGTACGGGATTTCTAGAAGCAGCTCCGAGAATTCTTTCACATATTCTCGAACTCCACCCCTCTGGTGAGTCTTCTCAACTTTGAACTGGCTTCAAACTCCACGTTCTCTGGGTAGAACTGCTTCTTGATTTCTCTCTTGAAATCTTCCCACGTTACCATCACACAAGTACCTCATTCGACGTCCGCTTCACGCCGCCTCCACCACACCATTGCAACATCGACCAAGTATAGTGGAGCCGTACGAAGTTTTACCTCATCCTCTTGGATGCCGGACGCCTTGAAGTACTGCTCAAGACTCCGAAGGAAGTTCTCTAACTCCCTTGTGTTCCTTGAACCTCCGAAGTTCTTCGGTCTTGGAACATCAGCACGTGGGACGGTTTGCACCGGGGATGGTCCGCTAGCCATGGCTCTCTTCACGAGAGTGACCTCACTCTTGAGGTCTGCAATCTCCTCCTTCACCCCGACCAGCTCAGCCTGGACATGCTCTTTCACAACTGCAATGACGGTGCTCACGGTTTCGGAGATGGTGTTGGTGATGAGAGCTACGAGCTCTTCTCGCATCCCATCATGGTTGATCTCCAAGCCTGTCAACCTACCAGCCATTCCTTGAACATCGCTTTGGACTTGGGAAAAGTTAGCTCCCAAATCCTCGATGGCAGTGATGTCTTCCGCCACCTTCACTTCTACTCTAGAGACACGCCTCTCTAGAGACGCCATAGGATCACGAGTGCTTGACTTGTCACCCTTTGGCTTGGGATTCTTCACGGTATCCCTTCCACGGTGCTTCTCATGCTCGGTAACGCCGCTATCGCGTCCCGAATTTTTTGATGAGGTTCTTCCTTTTCGTCTGGCTACGGCTTCTACTTTGCTAGCACAAAGCCGAACCAGGCCTAATACCACTTGTCAGGACCTTACTCTCGATCGTGCGGCCCTAGCTCTCAATTCCGGAGCGCTAGGCAGCCTTTCTCTCAACTAAATTGCAAGCAAAGAAACAAGAACAAAGACAAAGGAATTGGGAGAACTCTCTAGTGTGTATTACTCTAAAAAATGATGGAATGAGTTACAAGTGAGGGAGATGACTCCTTATATAGGCCTCTCCTCATACAAGGCATCAATGCCCCTCATAATGTCCCTTTTCATCAATACACCTCATTAAGTCCCCCCATAATGCACTCTATAAATGTCACCCATTATGTGACTCATAAGTGCACCATTAAGCTCTCTATTAAGGTGGAGAATCCTAGGAACATCTCTATGCTACTAGTCTTCCATACATGCCACATGTGCAGCCGCCATGTTGTCACCTTGTTGGCGCCATGTCATCTGCCACATGTGACAAACCCCATGGATCCGCCACTGCTCCTTTCCAACCACAACACTAATTAATTAAGCAATACTCATCAATCACTTTGTATTTACCAAAAGGAAAAAGTACTTTATATGATTTCTCATGATTATCGTTTTTCATTTTTGGTTTGACAAATATTCTTTGGGTCTCCCATTGTCGTACATATGTTAGTACACCAAATAAGCGGGACTAGATAGGGTAACAACATCCCTTGTGTTGTTATTGTAACAACACTAGTCTCCAACCAATAGAAAAGCTAGGGTTGTGATGACTTTTTATTAGTTGAGTTGACCTAGTGTAAAATCAAAGCATGGGTATAATTGTCATTATGAAAAATATGTTTAAATCATAATAAAAAATTAAAAAATAATTTTTTTATTTTCTGGCCAAAATTTTGGTCGCCGGGATTCTGTCATCGGTCAACGGAAACTGGTCGTCGTTCACCGGAATATGCTTTTGTCACCGGAATATGCTATTTTGTCATCGGAATAAGCCATCGTTGCCGGAATATAGTCATCGGGGCCGGAATATGCTTACCGGCGTCGGAATTCGGTCACTGATGATCATCAGAGTTTGGTCAATGGTTTTCGTTGACCGGTCAACGACCACCGGATGTTATGGTCTGCATTGTGAGATTTATGGTTTGGTTTCTCATATTTTTGTATGACTTTTGTGGTTTGCTTTATCGTGTTTGTGGTTTGCATTAAGAAGTTTCTTATTTGCTTTATCGTGTTTGTGGTTTGCATTGAGAAGTTTCTGGTTTGCTTTCAAAAATTTTGTGTTTTGCATTGAGGGGTTTGTGGTTTATTTTAGGAGATTTGTGGTCGGCATTAGGAGGTTTCTGGTGTGCTTTCAAAATATTTGTGGTTTAGTTTGTGGTGTTTCTGGTTTATTTTAGGAGATTTGTGGTCGGCATTAGGAGGTTTCTGGTTTGTTTTTGTGGTTTGCTTTAACGTGTTTGTGGTTTGCATTATGAGGTTTCTGGTGTGTTTTTGAAAATTCTGTGGTTTGCTTTGTGAGGTTTCCGGTTTGTTTTAATATATTTTTGGTCTACATTAGGACATTTCTGGTTTTTTTTTGTAGTTTGCTTTATCGTGTTTGTAGTTTGCGTTATGAGTTTTCTGGTGTGCTTTCAAAATATTTGTGGTTTAGTTTGTGGTGTTTCTGGTTTATTTTAGAGAATTTGTGGTATGCATTAGGAGGTTTCTGGTTTGCTTTTTTGTGGTTTTTTTAATCACGTTGTGGTCTGCATTAGGAGGTTTCTGGTGTATTTATTAAAGACTAGTGACCTGCATACCAATAACACCTAAAATGCATACCATAAACACAATCAGGGGCGGACCCACCTTGTAGCAAGGTGTGTCACCCGACCCACCTTGCTCCGAAATTTTTGTGAGGAACTCACATTTTTTCGGTGTAAAAAATTCGTACAAAGGAACTCCGACATACCTCCAATAATTATAATCGACACACCTTAACCTTATTACATTACAAAAAATTATTGTGCTAATAGTATTAAAATATATAAATACAGGAGTTATCGAATTTCATATTAGGTAGTTAATTAGTTGGTTGTATAAGAGTAAACAATTAATTGACTACTTACTACTTAGTGAGTATTCAGAAAGATAACTATAACCTTACATATAACCTCAATAAATTGAATGAGAATTAAATTGATTAATAATCTGGTTGAGTCACGTAATTAGATAGTGAATTCGACATAGTCTTTCCTCATAACTTCTTCCATGGATTCTTCTTAAGTTAACATTCTACTTGCTTTCTAGTTTAGCTATTTCTTCCTACGTTGACGCCTGTCGCCACCGTCTGGTTGTCGACATCGAGCCGACGACATCCTCATTCTCATTCAAACTTACACATTGACACCTGTGGCCACCCTTCCAGCTTCTCATACCAGCTTTCTCATATTAAATTAGTGTTGACTTTATATATTGCAACTGTAAGCTACAAAATTACATTTTTCATATATGAGTTTAATCGAGAAAAATCTTTGGTATAAATTGAGTAATTAATTTGTGAATAATTTTTTAGTTGTGTACATAAAAAAATATATTTGATTTGCAGCCTATTGAGCAAATGTAGTTAAGAAATTTTTCAGAATATGAAAACTCGTTCTGGTTTACTGTAAAAAATAATGAAATTGATGAACTTTATAAATAAATTTTTTATATTTATTTTAAATTAATTAATTAATTAAAAAATTTTATTAGCCGACACACCTATACCAAAATCCTCGGTCCGCCACTGAACACAATAATACACTAAAATACATCAAAAAATGCGATTGATATACTGAGCTCTACAATAATTAGGTCAAAACTGACACCCGAGGAAACAGAGAGGTTGAAAGAAGAGGAAAAGAACTATAGATGGAACAAAAGCCATTAACAAATTTTGATTTATCGTAAAAAATCACAAAAATTTGCACCCATTTTTTAATACAACCATTCAAATTCTTATATCCAACACTTTGTTAGACTTTTTATTATGGATTATGTTTAATGGGTTGTCATGAATTAAGTTAGGCTTGCAGGCTTGTTACATTGCAAGCCCACCTGGCCAACCAATCCCAGCCCAGCCCAGGCCCGGCCAAATCCCTACAAACCCACATCCACCCACTGCCACTAGACAATAATAGATTCCTAATTCACCTTCCCTTCTCATTCCTTGCACTTTCTTCTTCTCATACCAGCAGAGTAACAATGGCTCCTACACCAAATTCACGAGATCCAAAAACAAAACTGAGAGCCCAAAACCTCCGACATGCTAGTAATCGACCTTTTCCTCAATGATCGACCCGATTTCGCCAAACCACATCTCCAAAATCCAACTCTACCGCAACTCCTCCATCTCCGTCTTCTTCACCCGCCAACAACACAAGTTCCTGGCTGACTCATGCATGTTTGTGAAGTGGTGGGAAGGCGAGATATTCATTGATGGCAGGCCGGAATCCCAGCTAATTCCCCCAATTGCTAAGCTGACAACAGGGGGAGGCGGCACCGACGATGACTGCTCGTCGGAGGAAGGACTCGTTGAAAGCCTCAGCGACAGAGGCAAAAACCCTTCCTGATGATGATGACCGCTGGAAAGGCTACTACTACTCATCATCCTCTGCTTCCAATTGAGATCAGCCATTTTGGAAGAGGGCGGGATCGGACGAACCAGCTGCTTATTGGGTTTTAAATTTGGTGTGCTCGTCGGCGGTCCCAGCGTTAGCCTCTCGAACGACCCGTCGCCGGTGATTGGTATAGCCATCGGAAAATTGGGGACCGGAGGAAGCTTCCCGAGCTAGTTGCTGGTCTTGATCGGAACAGCCGCCGACGCTTCTTGATTTGGCGATGGATTAAATGTTAAATTACCCTATTACCCTTAATGAATCCCGTTGTTACAGTAACAACAAAGGAGCTGTTGTTATACTATCCGCTCCCCAAATAAGCGTATATGTTCAGTTTTTTATGTTTCTTTCTTTTCCTTCTTCGGAGTTTGCCAACTTGAACGCATTTGGAATTGGACGGTTAAATGTTAATGGCTAAATTTAATTGATGGTTTGTGAAATCTATTATTTTTGTAGATAATTATCACATGTCTGAATATATATATAAGTGGTATTTGTATCAAATATTACAATTTAAGGAGTTATAACTTATGAGTAGGTGTATTGTAGTATTTGCACTCAAATTTGTTATTATATTAATTTATCCTTTTATGTCACCTCGTTTGTTTTTCATGGGCGTGTGTGCATGTTTGGCCAAGATGCATATTATATTAAATACGGCTAAATTACAAGATTGGTCACTGAAATTAATATAAAAGTTTACATTTGCCATTAAGATTAATTTATTCCATCTGTAGTCACTTAAATGAGTTGCATAGTCCAAGTTTGGTCACTGGCCGTTAGTCTTCGTTAAATTTTGCTGCGTTGGCAATCAACTCTCATAGTTGACCGTTAAATAAATGATGTGGCAATTAAAAATTCATTAAAAATAAAAATTAATCTTTTAGTATTTCTACCTCATTATAATTATATATTCAAATAAATAAAACTTTCTTCCCTACCAGGCCCAACCTCATCCCTTCAGCTACACGTCAGACACCCACCTCGACCGGACAACCGGGGATCGGTAAACCTCATCCACTACCTGGCTACTTCCTCCGACGGCATAAAAAACCTCTGATTTCCCTCTTCACCGGGCGACGACCACAACACCTCGGTGCACCATAGTCCCAATTCCCCCAATTACCAAACAAAGTCAAACATTTTTCATCGAACTCATCATCATCGCACTGATTTCCCCGGCCGACAGCTAGCTATAGCCTCCCCGACAACAGTCCTGATCTCTTCTTCTTTGATATCTTCTTCTCCCTCATTTTAAAACAATAAAAACCCATCATCTCCCTTCTTCCTGGATCCGCTTCCTCCATATCTGAATCTCCCTCTCCAATTATTTTTCTTCTTTTTTCTTCCTTTCCCTTCTTCATTGTTATCTCTCTTCTCCTTAGGGTTCCTCTTCGCCTTCATCTCCAGTCCGACAAACGGCTTTCCTCCCTAAACTGTTGAATAATTTCGTTACCTGTTTGTCCACTCTACCGAATTTTCTGGTGAAGCTCCACTTTCCTCTCGTCCCGGGTTTTAGATTTCTTGTAGAGGCGAAATACGAAGTAGACGACGACGGAGATGGAGCGACCGAGGATGGCAGAGAGGAAGATCAGGTCAAAGAGGGTGGAATTTTTTAAATATTTTATTTTATTTTTTAAATATTTTTTTAATTGCCACATCAGCTATTTAACGGTCAACTATTAGAGTTGACTGCCACCTCAGCAAAAGTTAACGAAGACTAATGGCTAGTGACCAAACTTGGACTTTGCAACTAATTTAAGTGACTACGGTTGGAATAAATTAATCTTAGTGTCAAACGTGAACTTTTATAGTAATTACAGTGATCAAACTTGCAATTTAGCCTATTAATAATATTAAATTAGTAGGAAAAATACATTTGTATAGCCATAACTTTCACATCTATGACAAATATAGCAATAACTATCCGAAAACACAAAATAGCCAATTACGTGCATTTTGTTAATGGCGTCAGTTGACGATATGACTGGACTTAGGGAAGAAACTAAGTTGGCGATTGATTTACTTCACCAACTTGCGTGGATTCTAAAGAAAAAATAAAAAATAAAAAAACAAAACTAGAAAGCGACTAAACCCTTTGTTTCTTCCCTTCATCGCAGCTAGTCCTCCCGGAAGCGCGACCTGAAAGGAGACCCGGCGGCTGAGAGTATGATAGCAGCGGGCGATCGAGTTGAAGCGGCGGCGACCTAAGAGAAAGAGAAAGGAGTTCCTCCTACCCGTCAATCTCTCTTCCAACCTACGATATACCCTTCTTTTTCTCTACTAAATCTCAATTCTTCCCCGATCTGCCCCCTTCTTCTTTGAATCTACCTGTCAATCTCTCTTCCATCCTCCGATCTACACTTATTACTCTCTGAATCTCATTCCCAACCTCTGATCTTCCCCCTTCTTCTTTGAATCTCCCCGTCATCTCTCTCCAAACCTCAACCCAAATCCGTTACCCCCCCCCCCCCCCCCCCCCCCCCCCCCCCCCCCCGGCGAGCTCTATGCGACATCAGGAATCTAGCAGCAGGTATCGCCTCTGAAATTATCGGGAAGTAGATCGTTCGCCTTGTCAGTTTACACTAGGAGCTTCTGCCCTCAACTTCAAGCCAATGCCCAAGCCGCCGCTGCAGCAGATGACAAGGTTCTTATCTTTTTCCTCACCAGTTCATCCAACAATTTCTTTTGTTCCTCGTTTCTTGTTTTGAATCGTGCTCAATCTGAATCTTGGATTTTGAATTTATCAGAAGAAAATCATGCTCAATCGTGCTCAATCTGAATCTTGGGTGTAGTGACGAAGAGACCCGCCGCCTGGGGGTGGGCAACTGGTTTGGTAAACCCGAACCGAAACTGAACTAATGCTATTCGGTTCAGAATTCGAAAGGAAATACTATAATTGCAAGCTCCAAACCGAACCGAAGTTCCGGCCGAAAAACAGAATTACTATAATTGCAAGCTCCAAATGGTGGATTTTTATGTTTGTAGTTGGTTTTAGACTTAAATATTTGAAATGTTTTATGACTTATGTATTGAAAAGTTTGATTTTATCATTGATGATGCCTATAATTGCATATTTATTGTTTATATCAGGGGTGAAAAATAATTTGAAAGTTAAAAGATACAAGTAGCTTCACAAATTCGGTTTTGTGTGAAAAATCAAACCGAACCGACTTATAATTCGGTTCGAATTCGGTTTGAGGTTTGAGAGAATTTGTGGACCCGGTATTTATAATTTCGGTTTGGTCGAAACCGAACAGACTGAATGACCACCCCTACCGCGGCCGCTGCCGTACCCTAACCGAAGCCGCCACCGCCAGTCGCCAACGAAGAAGCAATCGTCTTACAGACCCTCACTTCCAACCTCACAACCTCCAGCAAGGTCCCTCATATTCCCCACCCTTTCTTTCTCTGAAAATAGAAAAGAAGAAGAAGAGGGTCGGCGGTGAGAGAGAATGCGATGGGCAGGGGAAGGGGAAAAATTAGAAAACTATTTCTTTTTAATTTCATAATTAATTATTTATAACATGTGGGAATTATATGATGACTGGTTGCTGACGTGTGGGTTGATTTGATATCCTCGTCAGCCCAACGTTAATCTAATTGACGGAGTCTGTAACACCGTTAAAGTTTCTACCGGAAATGACTAGATTTGTCACACTACCATCCAATTTTTGGGCTATTTTGTGTTCTCGGATAATTATGGCTATATTTGTCACAAACGTGAAAGTTATGGCTATTGAAGTGTATTTTGCCAAAGTAGTAATACATACAAAGTTTTATATACGTCGTTTTAATATAACAATGAGTTTAAAAGATTTGCATCAATTATAAAATTTAACAATGCAAAATTTAAACGGATTATACATGTTTTACACGAGAAACATCAAACAAACGGGGGGAAAATAGACGCCTCGACAATAAAACTAGAACGGAAGTTTAAAAAACACCTTTAGTAAGTGTATGTGTTTATACGACAAACGATGGGGCCTAAAGGTAGAGGGTAGTTTGAAATTTACAAAAAAGCAACGAGGATGAAATTGAAAAAAAGGCAATAACATATTAATAGGGGAATAGAACTATGCAAGCATCTTCCCCTAGTATTTGTCGAATGAAAGTTTGTGGTGTTTGGAGAATAATATATGTAAAATGTTGAATCTTTTTATTTCAATCAAACGTGTTATTTGAGCCAATTATCATAAAATGTTGTTTGAGCCCAATTCCGCTTCCTCCTGTTCACGTGCGCCTTCCCCGTCTCCCGCGCTTCCTCCAAGGCGCTCATGACCCGGCACCCAAAGCTCCTAGCGGACCTCAGCGGTCCGTTAGCATTCTAACGCTCAAGCTAGCTTTACCTTTTAGAGAGAGAAGTAGAAAAGCTTAGTGAGAGAATTTGATCTAAGTAAATGAAGTTCATCTACTCTCCTATTTATACTTGGAGCCTCGTCGACCAATGCCCCCCAATTACGCCCCACATCAGCATGGTCATTAAATGCACTATACTTGCTTTTCGCCATGCGCCTCGACTATCTGACACCCTGCTCAGAGGTTCGGGGCGCATGACCTCACTCATGTAACTTTCCAAACATTTCTTCCCGTTGGCTGTCTCTTGCCCTTATGCTCTTCCTGTCAGAGACCTGGTCCCACTCATTGGGACCACTCTGTGCCCCTGGGTCGGGCTTACTGACACGCTAAAGCACAACACCAAACTGCGACCAAGTGTAATCGCAGTCCGGAAATGCAGTAAAGTGGCAAGCTCTATTTGTCAACCTGGGGTCAAGATCTACTGCCTACTCGGTGATTATCTATTATCTAGCAAACTAAGTCGAGTGATTGTGATTTTAACTAAAAGCAGGAAATGGTTCAGTGTTCTTTAGCAAGGGAAGAGTCACTCGGGATTGAGTCCCCCTAGCTCCTTAGTTAAGTCGAGGTTGTAATTACCCTGGGTTGATTAATTGTTTATTAAACTGCGGAGGATCCGACAGTAGCTTGGAATCTCTTAAGCTGACCAAGCCCTCTCAGGCAGACTAACTAGCAAGCGACTAGCCTTCACCTGGATAGATTGCTGAGGCAATAAACACAGAACTCCACTACTAGAACTAGATTCCAGTACAAAGCAGTAAATCGATTAACTCTCGTATAACCAATCTACCACTACCGATTGATGAAGCTCTAACAACCTAATCAGATTCTATGTATCTCAGGTTGCAGCAGAAATCAAGAAAAGATGATCAGGCTTCAATTTACTTAATGAATCATGCATCAATCGATTAAAATCAATCAGCTAACACATGGAACTAGGGTTCTTCATACCCAAGTGAGAGAAGGTTCTACTCCATAGAGAGAGAGAGGAAAATAGAAATCAGAGTATTCATACTCATAAAGATGAGGATTATCTGCTCTTGGATGTCGATCTTCACTCCTGGGGATGCAATCTGGGCTTCAATGGTGC